TTGACGAGCCATTATCAATACGCCCTTTTGCTTGGGATTGGTCGGGATGCTCACGGACCTTTTGTATAGTAGGGATAGACTATTATGAAGACTCCCAGTAAGGGAGCCCTGACCGTGACTTACATGAGTTGTCCTTCAAGCATATTTAATATATCAGAGTAGACTACGTATGAAACTAGTTTATATTTTCGGGTAGACTAGATCCGAACTTGGTTTGTAAGTCTGGGTTGACTATATCTGAAATATCCACACCATCCATGTGTCCTTGTACAGTTGTTTTGTGATTCCCCTGGTAACGGCTTTGTTCATAACTACCAAATTGAAAGTGTTGGAACCATTGTTTGTTGGTATTTACCGGGGAATCGAATCAGAACCCAGGGTGTCTCGGGTGCGGTTTCTGGATTTCGCAACCATCCACAGTATTACGCGCCGCCGAGGACGTGTCGGTCTTCGGCGACCTCTACAGCGCCTTGCAGCAGTTGCCCAAGGAGCCGAGCCTTCGGTCGCTGAAGGTACCAGTGCATCGAGTCTTTTTCCCTTGGATCTAAGGGTTGATTCCAACCATTATTTCCAATCCATGTTGTTGTTTTTTGAACACCGGATCCCTGGGTTTCCGGAGGTTCATCTTTTGATTATTGTTTTAAAACCGGGATCCGTTTCCCTGGGTTTCCGGAGGTTTTCTAGACAGAAGGATCCCTGGAAAGAATGGGGAAGGTAGCACACCTGGTTTTTCATGGTAAACAACCCACTTTTGTAGTCGCATTGTTGACCCCAGACAATCCATGTAGGATATATATATATATATATATCACCCTTGCGCCCATTTGGAGGGCAAATGTGATTAAATATTGTATGTATGGTTTGTTTGAGATTCAACACCAGCTCGTGTCAACCCCGACTTGATATCCCACTTGATTCTTAAACCCGGATTCATTACCCTGAGTTTGTTTCCACGTTTCATTCAATTCAACAGAATGTCTACCTCGGATAAATCACACCCCGGCTTGATTTTGATTGGGGGGTAAGCAACCAATGTTAACCCCGGATTCATAGACCCTTTGATTTTGATTGGGGGGGTGTCCCCTTGTGGGACTCCGGATCACTTTGGCGGGCCCCAAACGTAAGTAATGCATGGGTTTATTCCTCAGCTTACTGATTGGTGACTTAAATTGGTTTGGAGCTTTGTTTCCGGGAGGTGACTTCCCGTTTACTCTGGGACCAAGGGTTGAAATCAATCACCAATCCAAAGCACCGCCCAAAGGTCTTCCACCGCATCTGACTGGAGCGTCAAACGATGGGTAGGGCCACTGGTGATACCAATAGAATATCATCTTCACTGCTCTTGGTGTGTCTTTTGGTTTTTTAGCTTTTTGGTTCTGTTCATGGTTACTGGGGGCTGCAAAAAGGTCATAGGAGTCTCTGTCCCCATGAAGATGAGTGCTGCTTTCTCTTCAAACGATGTGCAGGATGAATTTGAGCACGCCCCAACTATATTGTCAGTTGCTCATAGATACCCAACGTAATCATTGTTTTAGGATATGTTAGAATATACACTGACTTTTTAGGGGCAAATCCCTTAGGAATGGATTTCAGGCCGTTTGTATCTTTGGGAGGTGTCCCTCTTTGACTGCATGGCCCAGGAGACCTTTTCATCAACTCAGATGCCCAAAGCGAATCGACCGGATCTGACCCTTTCTTTGGTGCATGTTGCTTGGATGTTAGGACTTGATCTTTGTGCCAACTAATGGGTTTCCCATTAAACCGCTAAAAGTTACTGTGAACTTTTAGCAGGGGAGCAGAAAGCATCCGAGTTTTGACCTGTTCCCGTTCTTTTGTCTCCATTTTTCGTCATGGCCCCAAAAGCTGAGCGGCGTTTAATTCCAGGTCCAAACTGGGCAACTGAGTAAAGCCTAAGTAATGACCTGTTGCTCAGACACTCAGCTCTGAGGGAAGTGGTTTCTAGTGAAATTGTTCATCAGCGAGACGGTCCTGTTGTTATGTGATTTGTGCGAGGAAGAGGGATTTCAACCTTTGTGGCTTTCCATTGGCAGGCTCTTTTGCTTGATTTAGCTTTCACAGGATCAATCGTTCCCCGCCCCAACCCCTTGGTTTTTCTCCGAATCAGGCCTTCATAAGGCCAGAAGCAGGCCTTCCTAGGTAACAGCGGAAGGGGTAGGGGAGCATTGAATCAGGGAATCAGGGTACGTCCCCTGCACTCTTTGGTGGCCATCCCACTAGGAAGGCTACCTTGTACACCCTGGTTTCGCGAACCGGGTAACGGACAGAACCAGTTGGAATGGACAAAACCCTATATGAATCATGGGATGAACAACCTGCCAGAAGCTGCGTTTTTGCGGATTTTGTCCATGTACGAATTGACCAATGCGTCAGGAAATAGGGATTCGGAGCAGCTGGATTTCGGGTTTCCTCCCTTGAAACCAACCCCAAGGGCACCCGAGCGCAGGAGCAGCAGGCTTCTACGGGCTCTTGGGGCGCTCAGGAAGAGCCTGGCCAGTTTCAGGCACGGGTGCCATCCGACTTTGACCAAAAGACTTCCACTATCCCACCACCCCGATTCCGTTGGGATTGGGGACCGACATGTCTCTCAGGTCTTCGTGCCTCCCAGCAGCTTTCACATCTCCTCGCGCTGCGTGTGGACGGATGGGGGCAAGAGCTGCCTGCGTTGGCTCTGCGGATTCCACGCCCTGCAACCGGAGTATGGCCGCTCGGGCCCGCACGGCCGTGTCGCCCGCGTGAAGGGGAAGGCGAATCTTCGAGCAGCCATTAGTAAAGAGGTGGCTCTTCTCCGGTAACCCTCACTTCACTGCCCGAGTTGGACTGTAGTCACTTTTGGGGTTTGGACCCTTTTAGTGGAAAATAACAAGTTTGGTTGTTTTTTTCGCTCAATCCACTCGGTCGGAAGGGAGTTTCATCAGGTGCGCCTTCATTTCAGATAACCCCTTGGTGGTTTGGATTGGTGGGGACTGCGGATTTGAACTGATTCTTTTTGAGGGTAAATGGGAAACCCACCCCCGGAACACCTAAGAGGGAAGCTGATCGAGGGAAGTTCGAATCGGTTGAGGGATTCTTTCCACCCCAGCTTCTTGCTGAAACCAAATGGGGAAGCTTTCCCCGAACCTCCATATCAACCGATCGGGACTGAACAATAACATGGGGGAAGTATGGGCGTCCCTCATTGAACCCGGGATTCGTGAGAACCAGTTTAACTAGACTCATGACTCATGATGTTGTTTGTTGACTCAGGTTGCATCTGCGCCAGATTTCTTTTGGAATGACTCTGCATAGCCAGCCCCTGGCTGATTCCTTCAGACCCCCGAGCAATGTAGGGAAGCCAAGCTCAACCACCCAATGATGGACCTAGTCCTGTGCGTATGAAGGGGGGGGTGCGCGACTTTTCTCCCAGCGCTGTGGAGGACTCCCCAATTATAGGACAAGGCTATGGGCTTCCCCCATAGATGTCTTCGAGGTATGCCAAGCTGATCCCCAGCAAGCCCATACAGTCTCTATACGTCTTAGGAAGTTTGTACTTCCCCAGATAGAACATCAAAGACCACAAGCCGAATTAAATTGTTCCTGTTCTATGACTGTCTCCCTCTTCTCCAAGTACCAGCTGCTTTTAGGGGTATCACAACCGTCTTCTAAAAAGGGAGGTATTTACCATGGAAAACGCTGGGGTTTTTCAAAAAAATGCCTTTTAAAAAAGAGGGAATTTGCAGCTTTCAGAGGTTTGCGTCCAGTACTGAGTTCGAGCCATAGAAGGGACGCCATGCAAAAGTCAAGACCGGCCACGTAATTTATTGGGTCTCCACAAGGCCTATTTATGTGTTTTTGGGGCAGACAAAGTTTAACAAAGTCTCTGTTTTTTTGTTACAGCCACCAATTCGGGGCGTAAAACGCACCGTGGTGGGGATCCCTTAAATCAGGTTTTGGAATTATAGTAAATGTGCAGGCGAAATGTGAAGCAGAATCTGAGAAACAAAAACACAGATCTGGGCCAAGATTTCGTCACTCAAAGTCACTATTTGCTTACACTGACTCCTTTCTATGGCCCTGAATGGATGGAGGGTTGGGGAAAGTCATACGAGCGACGAAATAGTTACTAAGATAAATATGGTCGAGGGTACCCCACAACCCCCATCTTAGTGGCTTGCTCAAGATGAATCCTCAATCCTTTTGCCAAATGGAAGTTTCCCTTCTTGCTGCGTGTTTTTGTGTGGGACATGTTCTGAAAATCGGGATCCCCTCCACTCCCATTTGCAAGATATGCAACGGCCAAACTTGCAACTAGCCATCAAAACAAGTGCGTCTCTTGGTGAGAAGGGCTGGACTGACCGGTTCCTTTACTTAGGGTGTGTTGGGCATGTTCGTGGTACTGATCATTTTGAACACGCCACCGTTGTCAGAGAGATGGTTTCGTCAGGTCGCTTTGGGACCGCCTGCAAGTCGTGGCTCCTGGGCAAACACGTGGCCGTGCGGCAAGACCTGAGTGCACTTCAGGCTGGGCCACCGGACGACTGCCTGGATCGCCAGTTGCTGCTTTTTTCCATCTAGTTTACCCCAAACATCACCAAGAGTCACTGCAAAAAACAGATCAACTTGGCCAGCTAGGTGGCCCCAAAAGAACGTGGACATCCCAAGCCTCCCGGGCCACACTTGTTTCTTCTTTTTTTTTGGTCACGGGTGATTGAAGCGAAAGGGTTGGGTTCGGACCTTTTGAGTCGGTTGCTTCTTTTCCATCCACTACATGGGAAGTGAGCACAGGCAAGCCGGTTCTGATCAGTGCCATGAATTGGCCTTCAAAGGCTTGGCTCAACATCCTGCATGCAGATCTGGCGCATGTAAATCGCATTCCCATGGGATCAGAGGCATTTGGAGGAAACACCCCACAGATTCCAACTGAATCCCAAGCCCTTCAACTTTGACTGGATGTATTTCGCTGTTTCCAGCTCAGTCCAAAAGGCTGACACATACGACTAAGCAGGGGCGCAAGCAAGCCCCCTCGAGCCAATGCAGCGATGGAGCCGATGCAGCTTACTGCGGAGTACTTCGACAATGCCACCGCCAAGATGCAGTCTGCGGTGGATGGCCGCCTGGTTGCAGCGTTTCGCATGTGGACAGAAGAGCCACAAGCAAGACCCGGGTAGATGAAGGTTAGTGAGGGACGATCCCAACCATAAATTGATTCTTTACATGGTTCTGGGTCGACCATTTTAGTACCAGGTTTTGATTATGACTCAGAAGGCCCCCTCTGTTCCAGGGTCGGAAAGTCGGACCCAGGAGCGTGACAATTCACCTCATTTGTTGATTCTCCGAAAGGTGGAGTTGGAAAAGGTTTCAACGACCCTAAAATTAACTCTGAGAACCCGTGAAGACGTTCCTCCCACTCCAAATGCCCGCTTGTAATTTGGGCTCGATGGTGATATTGCACTGGGCTTCCGCAGCAAATGCATCCCGTTTTTCCTCGTCAGTGGCATCATCTAATTCACGGTTTGCCTGCTGGGCCCCAGGAATGGTCAGACCCGAGAAGGATTCCGTATTTGCCTGTCTCACTGGGCTACTGGGCTGAGGTGTGTTCCACATCCGGGAAATGCATATCCCGGGCCTGAGGTGTGTCCCAGAGACTTTCTTGAGATAGGCTTGACACAAGAGTTATGCATGTCATGTGTATGTGTGTGTGTGTGTGTGTGTTTTTTAGGGGACCTCCAAAGATGTGGGGTTCCTGTTGGTTGAACCAACCCAAAATTGGCTCCCTCGAAAAAGAACGAGAAACACAGTTGAAACCGGGAGAAACCAGTTCCAACAAGAGAGCAGGAAGTTCTAGAGGAAAGTCTTGTTGAGTGCTTGGAAATCCAATTTCCTGTAGCAACTCCTGGTTTCTGGGTTTCTCTGAGGGGTGTTGCTGGGAGAACAAATCAGCCCGCATGGCGGATCTCCCTCGAACCCTCCTTTTGAATCCTGGCTGGCTCCCCGAACGATATCTGGGCCTTTTCAGCCCATAGCTTTCAGCTGGGGTCTGGAAACCTGAAGAGGATGTCCAGCCCTTTTTCCCTGGGGGTTGGAAAACTTAAGCAACTACTCATTCTCTTTGCCCGATTTGACCATGTTAGTGGGAGGGAGGAAGGGTAGCTTGGTTGAGGGGCAACCAACAGAAAACCAAGCCCATCTTCTATCAAGCTGGCAGGGCTCAGGTATCAAAAGCTCCAGAATTGTTCAGCAATGGTCGGCTTGCCGTTGCTCAACGGGGAATGTAGGAATGAATGTAGGGGTCCCCTTACAGGAAACCACCAGTTGGATGGTTCATCTCGGGGTCAGAAACCATTTCTCATTCCCCTATCGCACCGATCGCAAGTTAATCTAATCACCTGCATTTACCTAAGGATTGTCTAAATTCGGTCCTTAGTCAATGATGTGCTCGGCCAACTTAGCAAGTTGTTGGTCACCTAGGTTATAGCCCACTCATAAATGGCCCTAAGTGCGAATTAACCCTGTTGTTAGTGGGTTGGCTAACCGCTTGCTAACTTGGCCGAACATCCAAGTACTGTGGATGGACGAACTCCATTTCGCATCACCTAAGGTTCCCTGGGTTGGTTCTGATTCGATTCCCCTGTAAACACCAACAAACGTTTTAGTTTCCAATACTTTCAAAGTGGTACGAAATGGATTTCGCAACCATGCACAGTATGGATATCTTCATCGGACCACCGGCACCAGAGGCCTCCTCCGGTCCACGGGCAAGGTATCCAGCGCCAAGGCCGGCCACCACTCCCGAAGCCGCCGGTCAGCGGTCTCACTGGTTGGTTGGATGCGCGCTGATTGCGGATGTAATAACTTCTTATCTCTTTTGGCTGTTTTGTAGTACTCTGTTAGTGCTCTTTTAATATCCAGGGGGGATCCGCAAAAGCTACATCCAAACCGTTTTCTAGACCCAAGGGACGACCATGTTTGTGTTGAACAAAGAGTTTGGTTGCTTGGTTGGGCCAATCCATTCAGGAAGTGAGCCGTACCCCCAAACCCCAAGCACTCCATGCACCCTTAAGATTTACTCGCCCTAAACACCTGGGATTGGGAGTTGCTCAGTGCCGCCGTGCCCTTTCCCCCCATTTGTTTTTGGCCTCCCGAAACCAAGAACAGCGTCAACACCGAAAAGGGTCCCCTTCTTCTACCGATTCCTTTTGCCAAGGGGAGCCAGGACCAAATCCCAGAGGGTTCCTGGGTACTTGAAAAAAGGCTGTTGGGGGCAGGGGTCCTTTGGTACCTCCCGGGGGCGAGGTATTTCCAAGACTCTAAGTGACTAGTGACTATCAGTGACTACTTGTGACCGACGACTATTAGTGTTGGTGACCAGTGCCTGTTGGGGACTTTTTACTGACAATTCGCGACTAGTGAGTATGTATGGCTGTTGCTGCCTGGAGAGGGTCCTTTCAGAACCGTTACGGACCATAGTCAGGACCTTTGCATGGCTCCTCTTGCTGCTCTGAATCAGTAAAAAACGGCCGTGGCTCAGGCCCTGTACTAAAATAGGGCACCAACTGGGAAATGGAACCAAAGACTAACACCTGCGGTTTGGTAACCCTAGCGCTTGAATGTTCAACCACACCCAAATGGAGTGACCCCGATTTGAACTATCCAACTGGTGGGTCTTTCATCTTGAATTTTCAGAGCCACGCCCATGTGACGGTGTGAAGTTGGCTTTCCAAACGCCGCTCTGGATGTGGGACGCTCAGCCCAGAGCGTGAAGATGTGCCATGGAAAGGGGGGGTCAGAAGTCAGCCCTTCCGGAATGCGAGCTTAATGTGAACCCCAGATTAAAGCCCTGCTTTTATTACAGTGAATCGCCGGGTTTTAGGGGATTCATCACTGTTGGAGGAGAACACGCCCACATTAATAAGCAGGAGTTTATTGATCTGGGGTCAACATAACGTCCACCTTTCGTCCACATCGCCTTTCGCGCCAACATTCAGTGGAGACTCTCGCCTGTGGGCCAACTTGTGGTGTGTTTTGTCTAGGCCGGATGTGTACTTTTGCTGCGCCAAAATGGCTCAAGCCCACTTTGCCATCCCCTGGTGTCATCAAGAAACACCTGAACCGCGGCCACAATCAGAATCTGGGAAGGGAAGGTTAGTAGGGACAGTTCGACGGTGTTTACCACAAAAAGACTCGGATATGGTCACCTTTTGCTTGACCATGGGTTTTAGGTAGACCGCTCTACCGCGCTTTGATTCTGACTCATTTGAATGGCAATCCTAGGCAACTCCCAACGTGTGGGCGTAGGTGAGCACTGGGCGCACCCCCACGGCTGTCGCGTGGTTTGGTTGGGAGCCCACGAGCGTAAGCGATGCCCACCCCTGCAGGCAGAAATCGAGATCTTTACTCAGGCGGGTGTGGGCAGTGATTTGGGTCCCAAATTGAGTCTGGATGTGTTTGCAACAGCTTACAGGGCAACCAAAAAAACAAGCCATCGGTTCCCCTTTTCGAGACAAACCCATATTGGTTCCTGAAAATTATCCTCGAGACTCCCACAACTGGCGGGCTTTGTGTTCCTTCTAGAACCCAAGCGGGGTCCCCGCTCGGACACTTTTTGCCCTAGGTGGGCTCCTAGGGGTGGCTTCGAGAGACGGCAACGTGAATGGTTGGCCCATTCCTCTTGTGAGTTTCAACTTGAGCCACTTGCTCAAAACCCGGGTAGATGAAGGTTAAGGGCCAATCCAAGCCAACAAAAAGCTTCAGATATCCGCCTTCTTAATTCTTGAAGCATGGTTCTGGGGATCGACCAACAAATACCGGGTTTTGATGGTGGCTCAATTGGGAAAGCACGGCCTCTTCTGTCAGGTGGAGGTTGCTCGGCGCTTCATGATCGCAGCTCGGCTTGCAGTTCAGCCGGAAACGCGATGCGCTGGTCGTATCCCACGTCCAGTGCTAAGGGTAAGGGTTGGCCAGTTGGTGTCAAATACTTATATTAATATGAACACCGTTGTTATCAGGTGGGCTTGTATGAGGCAAGTGTTGGTCTCTGTAGCGTTGGGCAGTTACGTTCAATGGTCCTTTGCCTTGAACCTTTGTCGAATCAAAAGTCTCTCAAACTAGGGATTTGGACCCCCCAAATGGTGCAAACCCCATCACTTGCCCGGGTCCTGCATTTTTTGAGACATGTCACATCGGTTCATGTTCACTCTCGGAATTACCAACCTGATTCATTGGGGAGACTGAAGGATTTCTTGCAAAGTCGGATGCTGTACTAAACCGGGGCTTCATCATGCCCAGTGATTCCATTGGCCTGTTTACCCCCAAAACCTCCACATACCTTTGTTTGGTTGTTTGTAGATATATATATATATATATATATATATGTAACAACTTCTGTTCTGTGAATAAATTATCCTACTTTTGGTAACGGGATTGACAACTACTACTTTTGGTAACGGGATTGACATGATACCCTTAAAAAAACAGTTGAAGTACGGGGTAGGTAACCTAAGGAATCACCATGTGAAGGCTGCAAGGAAGACGCCTGGCTACCCATAGTTGGATGGGATGCACTAGGGTTTAGGGTTTCCATGACTTTAGTTTGGCAGACTCCACCCCCTTCCGCGGCATCCGCAGGCAGTGCTCTGGGAGGCCACGGACCGCGTCGCACTTCAGGAGATCTTCGGGGGAGACCTGGCCCGGGTCTGCCGCGTGCGCGCGCCCCGGACCAAATCTGGACCAGACGAACTCCGGCGGCCGCATGCGGCCGCGTTTTTTTTTTTGGCGGGGGTATTCTTCGCGTGGATGTTTCCCACAAAAAGGTGCTGGCTTTGTTTTCTGGGGTCCCCTAAAAACGGGTTGTCCTTTCCATGGCCCTCAAAAAAATCCACAAGCATAGGGGTACCCTCTCTTGGCACAGGAGCTCCTCCTAGCAGTCGTTCAAAAAAAAAGGGTACCCTCACCAAAAAAAAGAAGAGAAAAAACCAACGAAACCCCACTGGTTCCTCCTGGAGCTGCGCTTTCGATGCCTTTACAAAGGGATTTGGAGGACCAATGCGCCTTGTGTAAACCAATCCGAAACTGCCTGGACCAAGGGCTTTAGTGGATTTTGTTTACCCGATGTCTTTGCCAGCGGGGAAAGCACCGGTCATTACCCATTAGGGGGGATTATGACAACATCTTCTAGGGTCATGGAGTCTGTAGGTTGATCTTGCTTGACCAGACCTTTAATTGTACCTGTTTGGAAACAGGTATACCGTATACCTTTAAGCAGATAGGAACTTTCTTGGGCAAGGGGCAACAGGAACCCAGTCTATTTTTCGGGCACTTATTTTTTTTTGGGGGGGGACCAGTCCGATGTATTGTTTTGCTGCTTTATTGCTCCTGGAATTGAAGGATGCCGACACCCACGTAAACAAATGGTGGGGAAGGAAGCCCAGTTGTTCGGTGTCACCCTTTTCTCTTTGTAGTTGATTGCTTCCCCACTATAATTCATCAAACCCAAAATAACTTCCCCTTTTCTAGCAGGGTCATTGACCCAGTTGCCCAGTGGCGCCCTTGTTTCCATTTTTTGGGAAGGGTTCCCCCTTAAGCTCAACCAACCACCACTGGGCATCTGAGTTGAACATTTGGGGGAGGTTCCCCTCGTCAATTCCAAGACCGCCCGTGGCCACTGAGGCGGTCTTGGAATACTTGGAGACGCTGAAGCTGACCACTGGCACGCAGCGACTGAACCAATGCAACTCGCGGGGAGAACTCAGACACCTTCAAGAATGCAAGCGGCGATTGCATGGCTTTGTTGGCAAACATTTTACATGATTGTGGTTTATTGGGAAATCTGCACTTAACTGCTAAAATTTATGTTTTTCTCCCCATCCAACGTCAACCAAGATTGGGGCGGGTGTTCCGGTGCGGTTTGTTGCAATCTTCTTCTTTTTGGCATGTGTGGGATTGGGGTTCTCCAATAGTGTGGTGTCCACGAGTCCACGAGGAGATTGGCGATTGACCGAGGATACTAGTACTGTTTCCAGTTTGTAATTGGGCATCTCAAAGGCATTCACATAGATCCATGAAAATCTGTCACAATGGCACCTCAGTAGGCCCGAAAACGCGTCATCCAGCATCCGATGGAAGACATAACACGAGGAATTCACGACACGCGTTGTGTTGAGGGAGCCCCTCGGGCCCGGAAGCTTTACGCCAAAGCTGGTATGGAAGAGGGGTTCTCGAGGCCCTCTGGCCCTCTGGGTTTCTCAGTCCAAGGCTTTTGCCGTCCATTTTTAGTCATGCCCCCTCTCTTCCGGGTCCTTGGGCAACTGAGTGGGACGGTATTGCAATACGCTTGCTTGGTGACCACCGCCGTTTTGAGGGGATGGACATACCCCAAAACGAATGGATATGGGGAGGGGGTTGCTCACCTGGGCCACAGAGATTCGGGCGCTTTGGCAGAGACATGTTCTTTTGGAGAGCTCCTTGTTGGGTTACCGGGTCATTTGAAGGGCCAGGAAGTCGATTTCAGTTGACAGGTGGCAGCTTCTTTCCTGTCCAATTGCCAGACTTGTGCCTAGGATGTTTGCTTCTTCGCCCTGGGTTTCCTTCAATTGTCCCAAGCACAGAGACAAGTTTGTTCGAGACGGGCCAAATGTGAGTTTCTCGAGCCAGTGCTAAATTACATGTTTGGTTCCTTTAGGTTTCCCTTCAATGCAAAACAGGGGGTCCACCATTTTGAGAAGCACCCAACTCACGCGGTCTTGCTGGTTCTCGGCGACGGCAACGAGCCGTACTCGAAGGGGATCCCTACTCGCCTCTTAATTCCCGACGGCCGCAAGCAGAATTGGACATGGTGCTGGATTTCGTGGCGGCAGCATTAGAGAAGGCTCCAAGAAAGAACTCGATGTTGTCGCGCGCATGCATCATTGGACCCTCCATTGGGCTAGGGCCAGGACCTCCAGTGAAAGGTTTTGGACCTGGCCCTGTTGAAGGCCCGTTTGCTGCTTTGGGCGAGCACCGCTCGTCGAAGTCCTTGTGCCCCCTGTGTGTTGTCAACCTTAACCCCCCACCTGGACTCTCAAACTGCCCATGAAAAAGAGGGAGCTCACTCCCATCATTTAGGCCATGTCCCATTTTTATGTTGGAATTTTGAGGGTCCGGGTCGGAAAATCGCCCCTACCTCTGAGCTCTCTGTCGAATGCTTACCATGTCGAGGCATGATGGCGTGCCACTCCATCGAGGATGTGCTCGCAGATCTCGGCGCCTTGGATTGTCCGACTCTCCGAGTCGTATGCCCAGGTGAGCCACTTGCTCAAAACCTGGGTAGATGAAGGTTAGTAAGGGCCAATCCCAGCCATAAATAGCTGCGGATACCCGCCTTCTTAATGCTGTAATTACATGGTTCTGGGTAGACCATTTTAATACCAGGTTTTGATTGTGACTCAGGTATCCCCAGCGGACATTCCTGGACCCCTCCTTTTGAAGCCTCCCTGAATTAGCTGCTCCCAACCATCTGGGCCTATCAACCAACCTCGTTCAGCTGTTGTGGGGCTGGAAACAGCGGGGAAAGCACTTTAAGCAACTCATTCCCACTCTCATTCCATTTTCCCGATGAAAGTAATGGTTGGGTGAATATACCTACCATTGCCGACCGTTCACAAACTTCATCTAAATTTGGTCCCCTTGGGCCATTCCTTTAATGGGGATTGATTTCTAGGGCAAAGTGATCAGGTAGCCAGCTTTTTAAGTTTAGGCAAACTATAGCCATGTCACGGTTGGGACGTTTGTGTCAACGCCCGAAGGCTCCAATTGTTTTTGGGCCCAATTGGGTTGTTTCGTTCCGCGCGCAGGGGAAGTGGTCCGGGTTCTTCATTGCAGGGCCCCTTGTGGGAGTTTGAGGGGTCATGATTTTGGTTTGGTTTCGACCGCCGGGTTCTTATGAATACTGAGTCAACCACCCAAAAGGTCTCAAAATAGGGAGCCCTTTTGGATTTTGGATGTGAAGCCAAGAAGCAAACCAGGTTTGGGGGTCTCCTCCAAACATTGCTTGTACTTACCCTAAGAATCTTGTGACTTCAAAAAGGATCTTCCTGAGGTCGTAGAGGGTGGATGCTTTCACCCACCCAAAAAGGAAACATAGGATTCGACCCTGGCTCGTCGCATCTCCGAGGATTCTCCCGGGCGCTGCGGGAAATGCAGGAGCTGCAGACCAAGGCCAGTTCTGTGAAAATCGGACTTTGGTTACTTTTTTGGGTTTAAGGACTTTGCTTTGAACAAATCGTGGAATGGCATGAGCCAATCAGCAAAAAGCTGCAATTGCAATGACAGCACCTGACTGCCTACATCCCTCTGCTCATGTATGCTGTTCTGCAGGCCACAAAAATTTCCTTTCCTCTTGGCGCATTTTTAGTCATGGCCTCAAAGGGCTAAGCTTGTACTTCTCGGTCCTTTAGGCAAATGAGCTTGTACTTCTCAGTTGTTTGCCTAGGACTTTTGGCAAACAAAGGCTCCGATGTTCCGACCAACCCGTTATCCTTGCAGAAGCCACCCAGGTTTGTCAGGCCTGGACTTGGGGGCAAGTGTGTGTTTCTTCTTTTTTCCGCGGTGGTTCCACTACCTGGTTTCGCAGGGTGTATACCGACATCCAGACAATCATTGTATATGCAAACATTTGATCCATTTGGAGGGTAAATGTGTGTAAATATGGCATACATGGATTGTTTGGGATAGCTAGGCTCTGCAAACCGCTACACCTTTTCGCTAGAACCTTCCCCAGAAACAGTAACAGCTCCCTTGCCCTTTTTGGGCTCCCCTTTGTTTTCCACTAAACAGGCAAACAACATATGTTCTTGTGCCGGGGTCCTATTTCCAGCCAAGAACCAAACTAGGTCCACCAGTAGTGCCCCTTTACCCTTTTTTGGGAGAGGGGGAACCCCCTACTGAACTAGACCAGATAAAAAAAGTCGGGAACCCTTCTTCTAACCTCTCTACTGGAGGACCTAGTAGTGGTTAGTAAGCCTGGTTATAACCCACTTAGGAGACCATGGTAAGCCTGGTTAGCAACTGCTGTGGCGTTCATGGACGGCTTGGGGTTGTCAGGCAATGGCGAGCCGCTTTGAAGCAGCCACCGCGGAGGCGCGATCAGGCGCGGGCTGCGTGGCGGCCCTTCTCTCCCCCCTTTTTGGGGGGAAGGTTCCCCTAGTAAAAAAGACAAAACCGAAAAAAGTTGGTACCCTGATTCTAACATCTCACATCTGGAGGACCTAGTTTAGTTGGATGGTTGAGGCAGGTATGTTGGATCGCAACAACCACACGATTCCCGCAGTGATGTAGGAAAGGTGGGCGTACCCTCACAAACAAAGGAAATAAATCCTGCAGCACCTAAGAAGCCCTGGAATGATTCGATTCCCCTGCAAATACCAACCAACCATGGTTTATCATGGTTTTCAAGTGGTGCAGGATGTCTTCCATCCACAGTATGGTCTTTGTGTGAGGGTGCCCTTTTCGGGGTGAATTTGAAAAAGGCCAGAACAACTCTTCATATGTTGGGTTCTCCTGCTTTTGGTTTTTACCCACCTGTCCATCTGTCTAGCCTTGACAGGGTTTCCCACTTGTCCAGCCGGTGTTTTTGTTCATCTTACCTTTTGTTGGGTAGGCAGTAGAAATCATGCTGTGGACAAAATCCTGCACCACTTTGAAACCATGGAAATCCATTGTTCGTTGATATTTACAGGGGAATCTAATCATTCCACATTTTCTGAACGGTGGTGCGAAATGGATTTCGTCCATGCACAGTATGAGTGAGTTATAACTTATAAGCTAAGTCACCAACCATCCCCAACAGTTTCACATGGAACCCAAGACCCACCATTCTTAGAGGAATCTCTTTTCCCTAGGCGTTCAACCCCAAAGGCCTCCAAGAATGAGGTCTTGCGGGCCTACTTGTGGGAAATCCCCACTCAACTGCTAGCATTTAGATTTTTGCTCCCCTTCCACCGTTAGCCAAGGTTTCTTAGGTGGTGCGAAATGGATTTAGTCCATCCACGGTGTCCGTGGGTACTGGTACAATGAGCGATTGCCTTGCAACTTGCGAGGGGGCGCGCTGGCGTCGCCAGCTTCTGCGCCAGTGGAGAGCGTGCCTTGACAGGAAGCCGCACGCCACGACGCGAATGTCTGAAGACCAGTGAAAGCTACCCCCAATTCGGGGGAGAAAACAAACGAGTTTTCGTTGTTTAAGGGTATGATGTCAACGGCTAAAGCAGGATGTTTTACCCTGGAAACCCAGGTTTTCCGAAACATACACTTCAAATAGAGGGAAATTTGGAGTTGGCGGGGAAGCCTTCCTGCACGAAGGCATAGTTGCAACCAAGAGAGGGGTAAAACTTCTTGGATCGAGTTAGCACCTAGGCCACCGATCCACAGTTTATGCCTTGCTTGTTTGGCACAGCCAACCAGTTAGAAGTGCCAAAAGGATAGAAGGCACCTCGTTGTACATTGTGTAATGGTTTGTGTTCCTCAAGTTGCTGGTTTACCTGGTTACAAGCAGAAGGGGTAATTGAAATACAAGCTGGCCGGGGATGGGACGTTTGCCGAGCGCCGATCAAAGCGACAGCTTTCTGCTTGACAAACTCAGGTGCCAGAGACACCAACTCCCAGCACCGACGACGTCGACGCGTTGGACGATGTGTCGGATGCCTCGGCACAAGTCGCTGCACCCGCTTCCACTGGGGAGGACTTCTTCGTGGGTGCCGGGGAGATCTTGGAGGGCTTCTCAGACTCTGATGGCACTCCGGAAGAAGAGGCCGGGAAAGAGGATGTTTGGGTATGGCTCAAAAGTAAGGAGCTGGGGCAAACCGCGGGTTTTAGTCTTTGGTTCCATTTACCAAGGTGCATTTTGGTACCACTTTGTTGAGCCACAGCCATTTGTATTGTAACCTCTTTTTTTTTTGAAAAGATAGTTGCATTGTAACCCGTTGTTATATATATATATATGGCTTTGAAGGGGGTGGGGGGAGGAGTTCCCTTGAAACATGAACAAATCACCGGTGTCGTGCTGATTTCCCCGCTCTTGAAACAGAACATGGGGCGGATAATATGGGATCCAGCAGGGTTCTCACATGTCGCGTGTCTGGGTTACGGCGCCTCCAAGATGCCCAGACAATCCATGTAGGTAATGTGTACATCTGACCCATTTGAAGGGTAAATGTGAGTACCCCATGGTTCAGTCATCCCCCATCCCCTTTAAGCCTTTCCCCGGTTCCCCCCGGAAAGCTCCAAGTCACTTCCGGTGGAGTCGAAACTTGTTGGGACAGACAAAAAACATTTTCGGGGCCAACCATAAAGTTTGGGTGACTTTTTTTGGCCAATCCACTCAGGACGTGAGCCAAATACCCGCTTGGTACACGAATTCGTGGGGTTTCTCTGCCTTTTGGGGATGGATGGGGGTGCGTTTTTGTTTTTCAATCCGCCTAAAAAGAGAAAACCGAAAGCGATAGAATCCCAAAAGCACCTTCGGCGCGGCTTTTCAACCGCTCCAAAGACCAACTCGCCGCTTCTCTCAAGGCCCACAGCTTCTCCAAGCGCCTCGTGGACTTCGGCTCCGGCTTGGCCTCCACGGCAGGCGCGCCGTTTCTTTTTTTGTTTGTCGTTTTTTTTTTTTGTTTATTAATATTTTTATTTTCCCCCCCTTTTCTGGAGTTGTTTTTTTTGTTTCCCCCCGGAGCTTTTTGTTCATGTTTTTGTTCGCCGGTTTTTGTTTTGGGTACCCTCCCAGCAACATGGAAAACCAGAAAAGGGGGGCTCCCTTTCAAGAGGAAAATCAGGTTTTTCCCCAGCAACTTCCAGTTGCTGGAATAAAGTTATATATTTACATATACATACGTATATATATATATATATATATATTTACTTTCCCCTGTTGGCTTTAAAGGGAATCGATTTCGCTTCTGGACATGTTTTTTGTTGTTTCTCGGGGACTTAAGCAAGTGGAAGCAACATGGAAGTGCACGAGGGGCTCCTTTCCAAGAGGAACATAGTCTTTCTACAGGGTCTGCTCCCACCAACTAACATGGAAGTGCACAAATTGCGACTTTCCAAGAGGAAAGTAGGCTTTTCACAGTGTGTGCACAAACGCATGCCAGTCGGTGGGAGGATATTTGAAGGGAAACTTCAAAAGGAACCAAAACTAACCTTTGACCACTTTGAGAAGCCACTCTATGGGTACACATCGAGCAATGTGTGTGTGTGTGTGTTGGCAAACTCGTGTGGTAGCTTCCAGAAACCCCGAAAAAAAGAACACAGTATGAAAAGAAGGATGGTTGAACATAACAGGGACTTCAGCAGGTATGTCACTTGCCCAAAGTTGACCTTTTGACCTTCTAGTTTTTTGATGGAACTGAGGTATCCGTGGCTTTGACCCAGCGTCTTAGATGTAATGCGATAGTATGGGCGCGAGCCGCTCAGAGCTGGCAACAGACCTTGCAAAAGATTTAAGCTTCAGTGCTTCCAGTCTTAGTAGGTAAACAAGTTGGACATCACCCATTTACAAACTAACGAGTTGGATTGTGCCCTTTGTTGGTGGGGTTGGTGCAGGGAAACCAAAAGGACACCGCTCATTTTACACACCAAAGATGCAGGAACACTAGGGGGTGTTCTTGTGATGGTACCTTTTGTGGGCTCGGTGCTGGGAATCCAACAGGACACCGCTCAATCTTTCGGGTTCCCCTTGGCTGGAGCTCATGTCAATCCCTGGTTGATTCATACGACTCGTGCCCCTTCTCTTTCGCGGGGGGAAGAAAAAAGCCTGTCTAGAGGAAAACCCAACCCAAACAAACAACGCCAATGCAGAGTGTTCGCCGATGGTAAAAACGGCCAACAAAAAGGTGAGAGCCAGTGGAACTCCACTGGGACCTTTCTTGTAGGTCCCGTGTCCGGGGCGGACAGCTTTCAGCACCGAGGCTATGCTCTCAGCGAAGCCCGGTCCAGGGCATCAGAGCGCCTTTGCTGCCAAGACGCCCCAAGTGCTGCTGATTTTGTCGGGGGCATACTGTGGATGGACAAAATCCGGCACCACCTAAGAAACCCTGGAATGAGGATTCCCCCGCAAATACCAACAAATAGTTGTTTCAGATGCTTTGAAAGTGGTGCATGATTTTGTGCAGCCACAGTATGGGTATACCCTTTTTGGAGGGTGTCAGATCAGACTTTGGCCAGTGAACTTGACAGCTCTAGAAGCAATCAAACACTGCGAGGCTGTTGCACTTTGTTGCTTTATGCCTTTGTGCTCATCACTGACCATCACGGTGCTGCTGATTTTGTCAGGTTGGCACACTGGACCTCCCAAAGGGGCTCTGAATCAGTCTCAGGTTTGTAGTCGCACGCATGGTTGAGACGTCGCAACCGCAAAGCAATTGACTTTGGGGCACAAATTCATGTATGGCAGCAATGCTCGCAGTTCCCTACAAAGAGGCATACCCCCAAGGTGTTACTTCTCCAAAAATGCAAAGAGGCATACCCCCAAGGTGTTACCCCCTCCAAAAATGCACGAGGGGCCGAGGTTTAGTAAACCCCTGGTTGAAGAATATGGGTGGTGTCCTATTTAAGGGAAGATCTTTTACTTGATTTTGCTGGGAACACCTCCCCAATCCTTTGCCAGGTTTGCAATCCAGGGTGAACTTGAGATGAACGCGGCATTTTCAGGATCTCGGGTGGAAGCTAATACGAACTATCCAGGGAGGCAGCCCATATGAGCGGCAGGAAGCGACTCTTCGAATGGCTGATTTGATGTCCCCTTTTACAGTCTGCCAAAATGCAGATAGTTGTGATGTCCTTAACACCCCGACAGATCGCTCTTACAGGGTTCCAATTTTGCCAGGAGGACCCTTTTCTTCCACTCCAAATCGGTTGTTTGACCTCCACTGCGCCTTTTGGTTGTGGCCCAAAGGGTTGGGGGGGAGGGGGGGTGGCTTTGTTGGTAGGTGTGTGATCTCAGCTGAAACCACTGGGTGAGCGTCAGGATGGCCCAACGTGCCGATAGACAGAGACCTGGCGGCAATAACTCAAACCGATAGGCAAGCCACTAGGCATCATGACTCACTCCCTGAGTTCGTGAAAGGACTTTAGTCATGTTTTGGGAAGACCAGGTTGGTGGGAAATAACAAGTTTGGACTTGGCCAATCCGCTTAGGGAGTGAGATGAGCTTGTTATTGCCTTAAGGGCGCCTTGGTACCTCAAATACTTTGACCTTTGGCTCCTTGTGAGTATCCATTGCGTACCTGCCATTGTTTCCGCAAAGGATCGGAGGCAGGCTGCCTCTGGTAGTCCAATGACTATAAACCAGTTGGACTTGCCATGCCCAGCAATTCCAGGCAAGCCAGCATAGTTTTTCTGCATCATTGCGACCTCCAAACTTTACGTCGTTTCTGTTTTGGGCTGTGCGAAAGGCAGGGGGTCGAGGGGGGAGGGAGCCCAAATAAGCCCTTGAGGCCTGAGGCCTTGAAAAAGCCTTATTCGGGCCCCCCCCCTCCAGCTCCCATGATACTATCCTGGAAGCAAGAGTTGGCCTCGCAGCGAGAGGCTGGGGATATCGGAGACCTTCTCGCGGCGGCGACTGGTTGGAACGTCTGAGGGAGGCTCTGGGAGCCTAATCGCCGCCTGGCTGAGGATTTGTTTGCAAAACACCAGAGCTGAACGCTTGAACAGTGGGGGGATGTGTCATTCGTAGCATCCATGGCGTGTTAAGCACCACTCTACCACACTTTGACACACGCACACACAGACACAGACACAGACCGAGACACAGACAAAGACACAGACCGAGGCACAGACACACACGCACACACAGGCACACACACACAGACACACACACACAGGCACACGCGCACACACACAGACACACCCAGACACACAGACACACAGACACACAGACACACACACACAGACACACAGACACACAGACACACAGACACACAGACAGAGACACACAGAGACACAGACACAGAGACACACAGACACACAGACACACAGACACACAGACACACAGACACACAGACACACAGACACACAGACACACAGACACACAGACACATACGCACACACACACACACAGACACACACACAGACACATACGCACACAGACACACACACACACACAGACACACAGACACACAGGCACACGCGCACACAGACACACATACACACAGACACGCAGACACACAGACACACAGACACACAGACACACAGACACACAGACACACAGACACACAGACACACACACAGACACATACGCACACAGACACACACACACACACAGACACACAGACACACAGGCACACGCGCACACAGACACACATACACACAGACACACAGACACACAGACACACAGACACACAGACACACAGACACACAGACACACAGACACACAGACACACACACACACACAGACACACAGACACACAGACACACACACACAGACACATACGCACACAGACACATACGCACGCAGACACACACACACAGACACATACGCACACAGACACGCACACACACACACAGACAGACACACCGATTAAAAGCTGTATGATACCCGTACCCCCTGTTGAAGGTTTTTCGCCAGAGGTCTGTGAAGTGATTTGGTGAACTGAGTTGGGACATGTCAGACACGCTTGACATGTCCAAAAACACAATGTCTTGCCACATCATACCTTGATGGATAAATAACAAAGCAGCGCACGTGCTCCCCAGCTCGAAATCCATGCCCTGTCATGTTGAGTCCTTGTAACATTTTGTCTCTATCTTTTGGTTCAATCTACGTTTCCCGATCGTGTGACCATCGGCCAACCAACATCGCCGTTTGGAGAGAGTACATTTTGGCTTTGGAGCAGAAGTTGAGCGAGCGTATACTTAGTTTGTTTAGGGGGTGCCGGAAGGGCGAATCAAATTCTTTGATTGGATTGTTTTTTAACATCCCACCGCATGGCAACAAGATGTTGCCGTTGATATACTATCAAGTTGTATTCCGCTATTGGATACGTAGAGGGGTCATCACCTCTCTGGATTAAATTCTCGAAGGATCCCTGACTGATGAGACAGCAAACTACCCCACCTGGAGACTTTTCGAAAGGCCAACTCCAAATCACTTGTTGGCTCCAACTGTTTGGGAGGCCGATTCTTGTATAAAACGTGCCAATCTTAATGCCTGGCGAAAGTTTTGCCATACCCTAGGAGCCCAAGACCTCATTATTTGATGCCTTTGGGATGCTAGGGACAGAAGGGCGGGTCTGCAAAGATTATCCAGAATCAATCCAAGGCGGGCGCTTTAGCTATATCACCTCGAAACCATCTTTTTGTCAGTCCCAGAACAAAACAAGAAACCGTGTCAGGTTTGTTTTTTTTTCTGTCGGGTTCCTTTTGTGTGTCGAATTTCCACGAGGCCTCATTCTGAGGGAGTGGGTTTCTGAGGGAGTGGGTGTAGGGGTGGTTGTTAAGCCTCGACTAGGGTATTGTACCACAACTTTCAGGATAGGGCAGTATGGTGCCAAACACCACGCTGCTTGGAGTTGGTTGGGATGGTCATCAAGCTCTCAGAAGGGATTCTAGACAACAGCTTCCTTCTAAGCGACCGAAGACCATGACCCACGTAAGGAGTTTCACCATGGCACATCTGAGGTGGAAGTGGTGAGCGTTTCAGACTTAGGCGCCTCAGAGTATCGACGCTCGGTGGGAAAGAGTTGTGGCCTGCGGGTGGGTTTGTGATGGGTTGTATTGTTTCTGGATGTGCGCCTGCGTGGATCGGGTCCGGGACGGGCTTTCCATTGCGCATCGAAGGGCCGTGTGCACTTGTTTTTGTTTAATTAGCGCTCTCTCCATGCCCTTCTTACAGCTGAACAGGAGACTGGGGGATGATCACAAGAGTTGAAGACTGCCAACAAGTACTGTGACTACTACAAATACCATGTATCAGTATATCTCACTGATACCTCATGCCCTTTCTTTTTTTAGTGAAATGTTATGCTTTGTGCATTTGTCCTACTGCACGTTGCATCTTGATGTAGAGAAAGGGATTGAGAGATCATTCGAATGTCTAAAGCCACTTGACATAGTGAACGCATGACTGTGGCACGGTACTTCAATTTGTGCTTTGCTCAAGACGGTTTGGCCTCGGCCAAAGATGCTGCGCTCCTTGGCGTCTTTGCCGAGTGGAGCACGTCGCCCTCCACCGTCGGAATCTGGCTTCTCTGTGAAGACAGATTGCACCATCGATGTCCATGCAGCCGGAAGCCTTGGAGGATATGTGAAATACACATGCATTCGTGCTGCTGAGCTGCGAGCTCAACATGCCGGTCGAATCAAGATCAAGCCCTATGGATCCGCAAGACCTCTTGCGGAGGCAGTGGCATATCAGGCGAGCCACGGGGTGAGCCTCTTTGCATCTTGGCTGACGCAAATGGAATGATGCCCCAAGCCTTTTTGTTCGAGGTTTCATGGATCTGTTTGATGTTGGTTCTATTTTGGTCTAAATCTCTGCAT